GAGCGATATTTAGCCTTAGTGATCTAAATGAGAATCGAAGATCTCGTTGTTAGTATCGAAGCGATAAAAAGTTAGGCGAGAACGGACATCAAACGAACAAGTTATGAATTTATAACGAAATTTTTTGTCCCGGCCTATTAAAAATAAATAATAAAAAGAAACTCAAAACTAGCCGACGGAGTCTAAACGAAAGTTGTAGAGCGTAGTATCACCTTCGCGTGGATATAAAGAACGCCGAAAATGGAGTTCGTATGAAGAAGATATGAATTTTCGAAGTTTATTAAACAATTAATAATTAAATTTAATTATTAAATCCGACATTATCCGAAGAGGAGTCACCGGACTCATCCGAAGTACGCCCCGCATACTCGAGTTATGTCGACACTCGCACTCAAGGACTTCGGATGACGCATGCGCTTACGTTTCAGAGCAGTACGCCCCGCGTACTGCGAGGCCTCAGCCTCCTATAAATAGGATGCGAGGGCAGCTAACTCTTTTGCTATTTTTCTCCCTTCTCTCTCCTGTTTTGCATCGCTTTGCATGCCAGAAGTACCCCGAAGCCCCGGTAATATTCCCGAGTCCGGAAGCAAGTCCCGAGATCCCGAAGATCCCGAGAAGTGCGGTTCCCGAGCCGAAGCTCTGCCCGCGAGAAGTTCGATTTTTGTAGAGATCTTCCAGATCTGCTGAGGATTACTACTTTTGCAAGTCGTAGGGCTGTCCGATCATCTTCTGATCAAGTGAGTGTATTCTACCTTTCATAAACACGATTATAATACTAGTATGGTTTGAGTGTATTAAGTATATTGTTGTTTATATGTGTGAGTGTGTAGTTACTTTCTTCTAACGCATAATTATGAAGTATTTTATACGAAATACGTGTTATGTGTATATTTTGTTGTTATGTGTGTGAATGTATATTCACTTTCTTCTATGTTATAGATCTGATTATTTCTCTATGAAATACATGTTATGTGGGTGTGCCTCATCTGTTATATGGAAAATGTATTGATTGAGCATGCTATACAGGTTTTGAAAATATGTATAAAAATGTATGTTTTATCTACTAATATGTTGGGTAGAACATGGGTAGATAGTTTGTGTGTAATAAACAGATGAGAGGCCTCGAGGTTGTTTTGATTCAGTCATCTATCGGAATTTAGATGACGACCACAAACTTTTCTAGACAGTCCCGTGGAACGCTAGCAGGCTCATAACCTGTAAGTGTTAATGAACTTGGGTGTTCATTCGCTGTATTCCATCCCCCTCATGGTTGCTTTATTTGACTTATATTGCTGAGGAACCCCCGAAGCTTGTGTTGTCGCCCCGATGAAATATTCTTAGACTAGGTCCCATGTGTTAGTTGTTTTAGGGACGTAAAGTGAGAATAACGGGAATGGGTAATTGGGTTATTGTTGATTGGTGGAATTAAATATAATAATTTGTTGTGGGTTGAAAACCCTATATGCTCACCCGGCTGCCAAGCCTGACCCACTCAGTTTTATTTGTATTACAGGAAGTGGCGCGAGGGCGTAAGATGGATGAACCATCAAGTTGTTTTGTTTACAAGTCTGTATATTTATATATTTGTTGAATGACTTGTAATGTTATCGTTTATGCTTATTGGTCTGTATCGGAACATGACACCCCGAGTTTTGATTATATAATGAAAATACATTTCTTTTATGAAATGCTTTGGTAAATATTATTTTATCACGTTTTGTTTTTGGGAACAAATTCCGCAACTCTTTGAAATCAAAAAGATTTACTCTGAAATTATTTTAAAAGCATAAATGAAAATCGGTCTTTTCTAGCCAACATTTTGGGGATGTCACAATCTTGATCAATCCGAAAATTGTCTTCTCGTATATAATGTTATAAGCTATGTTCTTTGCCAATAAAAATCTAACAATACAAAGAGCCAACCGATCTACCAGATCCCAATCTTCCTACTTCATTGCTTCTGGTTTACTTTCAATCAAAGGTAAATGTAACTTCTTCAGTTAGAGATAATCTTCTATCTACATCCCCTAAAATCCTCTATCATGAACTTTTAATTTCTTGATCTTAATATTCTCGTCTTCAGCTGCAACTCCAATACAAATTGTTATAGGGTAATGAGGATATTAAGACTAAACTTGACAAATTATCATGATAATAGAGTATAAGAACTAACAATACCGTAAGGATTTAATATCTATAATGCCTTGTCCCAAGTCATTTCCCATTTGGGTGTGGGTGATGTAATTTAGATGATCCTAGTGTTCAATTTGTATTTTGGAGCCAATAGGTATTTTGATGAAGTGTCAGCTTGGGAATTTATGAAAATTGGATTTTTGTTTGGGAAATTTTAAGGATAGTATGTGTTGATAAAAGCGTAGAGCTTCTAGTTACCTTATCGTGGATATAAGGATCGTCGAAATCATACGTATAATGAAAAAGTTAGGGCATTCGGAAGAATTTAGGGTTTAAGGATAACCTTAGTACATAGGGTGTATATAGGGAGTATACAGGGCGTACTAGTGCGAGGTCCAATACACAGGGCGTACACTGCTATACGTTGAGCGTATTAACTAGGTTGGTCACTGACTTTGTTTCTACATAATTTTTAAATTTTTCCATAAATGTTTAAAAGGATACATACATCTCATGTGTAAATGCCCTCCAAGAATGGCTTATTCTAGTAAATGAAGAACAAGATGAATCATTGTGTCGAAAAATGTTGGAGGATATTTCAACTCAAGATTGTGTAAGATCTTCACCACTTCTGTTTTGGCATTTCTCATTTCGTTAACATCCAATAACCATGCACAATTTTTGTTAAGAATGTACACAAGTCGATGATTGTTCTTGAATCATTTTGTGGGAGACCTACTGGAACCCCTATAGGTAGCAATCGATTTGATGGTCGGACTCGGTGGTTGGACTTGATGGTGGTCCTCCGGTGGTCGCTGGTGGTCACCGGAAAACACAAAATCGGAAATGAAAAAAAAGGATAAAAACCACTCCATCCTTACTTGATGTGATGAAGGAAAGAAGCTGGAAGGAGTAGTTGGTGATCGACGGTGGTGAAGGAACGACGGCGGTGAAAGGTCGAGGGTGGTGAAAGGCTGTTGCAACCAACCATAAAAAACCACAAATTTGGAGTTAAAAAGTTGAGTAATCAGTAAAAAATTAGAAAACAAGGACCAAGAATGTACCTTCTGCTCGTTACCGACGAAGAGGAGTGCCAATTTCGATTTTCATTGTTGTAGATCAAGAGAGAAAGAGTGCATTGTCCCTGCAAATGAACAAGAATGAATGATGAACTGATGTCTTCTGATAGGGTAAAACCCTATGTCGACGATAAGTCGTCGATATAGGGTTTACATAATGACATCATTCCTTCTTTTTGATGAAATCAAAAAAAAATAAAAAAATGCCGACGACAAGTCCTCGGGATAGATATTTCACACGAATCGCCACGTAGCATGCCGACGATAAGTTGCCAGGATAGCTTTTAAAAAACACTTCATCGTTTCGATTTTCTGCACATGGAATAAAAAAAAATGAAATTTCCATTTGTCGTAACCCATACCGACAACGTGTCATTGACATATGTTTTTTCAGAAGACCGCAAAAAAAGTCGACGTTCTCGCTGAATCTCTCGCAACGATCGAACTGCTTAAACCGATCATTCCAAACAAACAACATACCAATCAAGATCATTGGTACTTAAGCAATATGACTTTGCAACCATGGAGATCGGGATGGACCGAAAATCACTTTTCTCATTCACAAGGATTAGTCCATATTTTCTCCATCTCGAATCAGACTAGACTTTTTTTTCTCTGATTGGCATTGTCCGAATTTAGAGCGGACTCGTTACTTTGGTCATGAACAATAACAATATATATATATATATATATATATATATATATATATATATATATATATATATATATATATATATATATATATAAGTAATATATGTATGTATATACGAGTTATACGAGTATGAGACATATATGTGGTGGATTAAACTTTCATCAAGATATATTAGGTATATGTCAAATTATAATTTAAGAGACCAATGTTTAATAAATTGATAATTTTACATTTCCTAATGTATTAATTTAATTTTATATATACAGATGTCGTAGGAATAAAACCAACAAAACTTCTCAAGAATACATACATCGATACGTACCCAAATTTACCAAAATTTAACCGAATGCATTTTCTAAATAAATTGTACGCTTTCTAAATAAATTGTACCCTTACAAACTTTTCCCACACTATTTCTCAAAAATATATCTAATGCTTTCAATACCCACATAGCTTTCTAAAATCTGATGATACACTTCAACTCAATACTCACAAACCTTTCTAAAATACGCTGCACATCACAATTTACCGTGCACAATTTCTTCAACCCAAAACCACACTAAAACTCAACTTAAAATCAAATCAAATCAAATCTAAGGATCAAATTTCTAAAATAAGCTTTCACTGCCTTCAATCATCCCCATTGATTTCTGTCAAACAAGCAAACCCAAAAACCCATCTCAATCCTCCTTCTTTCCTGTCAAGAACCAAAACCAAACACTCCAATGATTTCTATAAAACAAACTAAAATCAATGGCGATGCCTCTTCAACTTAAGATCGAGATGATTCTGCTAATCATTTAGATTCTATATGGTTAATTGGACACATATTTTTCTCAAATTCTATGCATCTGTTTAGATCGATGTGTTTCTCTCTTCTGGAAAAATACATTTTTTTGTTCGCATCTGATTTACCCTTTCTTTGGGATTAAAATAAAGATTATTCAAGGAGATATAACTGATGCATATAGCTAATTACAGGATGGTTTACCAACGCATTGCATTTCATTGGATTGCTTTAGGGTCAAATGGTCCTGTCTTAACTGCTACCGCTGCGTGCAGTGTCCGGACCTCACACCTCGCAGCCAGAAGTGCCGAGGAAGACTTCCATCTCTACGGATCCCATCGACCCTCGCTGGTACCCTTCCCCATCCCGTTCTTCCCTTCGGCCCGTCGAACCCAGAAGACAGCATCGGTTTGCGAAGCCGACCAACGAACGATCTCTGCTTCTCCTTCCATCCTCTTCGGCCTCATTGACCACCGACGATGCTCCCTCTGAGGTAATTGCCACCACCAATACCAAGAACCAACACCGTCACTTTCTTATTACTTCAAATCAGATGAAAACCGGATTAGCATGTCTGATTTTCCCGCAGCCGATGCCCATCGGGGCTGCTTCGCTGGTATCCCTTCCTCTTTCTTGTTCCCGATCGATTGAAAGGAAGAAGGCGACTCTTTCGATTCTAGGAGCCCTTTTGATCGACTGAAGAGTGACAACGGGACTTGACGTAAAAACGTATTTGTGATTTTGACCAAGGCAAGGTCAAAAAAAAAAAAAAAAAATTCAAACTTTCATTTAGATTATACAAAAGTAACCCTCACTTGACAAAACTTTATCAAATCAGTCCCAATCCATAAATAATGATTGCATTCATTCAAAATCAACCCCTCATTTGTTTTTTTAAAACCAAAACAGTCCTAAACAATCTAATTAAATTTACCAAAAGCCCGTATACTTTAGCTAAGTTAATCCCCGATAGTTCAAATGTGCTACAAAACGGTTCCAAAGGTGCTTCAATGTTCAAGAAACGTATCATTTGTGGTTTCTCAGACGAGCATCTCAAAGAAATTGAATTTGGACAAATGGAACTCAAGCTTCAAGGGTGAGTGCTTACGACCCATTTTTTAATATTTTAATTATTTTGGAGGGAATACACGTGCCTAAATATTTTTTTTATACAAATCAATTTTCTTTTATGCAAAAATACAATAAATCTAGTTTATAAAAATATTTGTTGTGAATAACCTAGTACAAAATTTTCGTATACGTATTAGGGTGATTTTATTGTGAAAATACAATTTCACACAACAAATACTACAAGATACAAAATTATATGATTTTCATGTGACATTTCAGATCATAACAAGCATGTAATGAAACAATGTAGTATTTCAAGGATTCAACCTATTACAATGCATGTTCATTAATATGTTTAAGTACACAACATTTATGCATATACATATACATAACTTTAACCGAAGGGATTCTAGCCCCAACAGTATCAGGTGGTACCTTTCGTCATTGAGGTCGGGGGTTCAAGTCTCGTCGTGGACATAGGTGGATTAGGTGTGAGTTTAGAAGTTGATCATATGTATTTATATTTTCAGGTTAAAAAAACATATGTTTATTAATTTGAAACATTTATTTTTATAAAATCAAGCACATTACACTTTTACACACATCTGAAACATACTTGACTTTTATAAACCTTATATAACCATATTCATTATGCCTAGAACTCACCCACAAGTAACTTAGGGCTAAGAGTTATTCATAAACATTTTAGTTAAGACCATTTTAGTGAGATGTTATGTTATTTATTAGCTGATTTTAAACACTTAGCATACCCATACTACTGCAATCGTTAATCTTTAGAGGGAGAAACATATGTATAGATCTATACAGGGTTCATATCCCCACATGCGGTTGCTAGCTACAACCCTCAGCCTATCTATCGAAGCGGGTGATAAATGTCTACAATTTTTACTACGATGTCCAGTGAAGCATTGATGGGGGGGGATACTCTCAAGTCATATATTTTGGTTATAACGCTCACTATAAATATTAACTAAAATATATATCTCTCTCACTACAAGCATAGGCTTGGTTGCTTTCAAAACTATTTTAAGTATGAATTTACTTATGTAACGGTACAATTTGATTTTCAAAGATATTCAAAGATTCCTTACAAGCGTAGTTTTTAAATGTGGATTTATTTATACAAGGATACATTTTGGCTTTTAAAGACTCGTTGCAAACACTGTTCAACTATTGTTATTAATACAAAGATAATAGTTTTCGGACTTATTAAAAGTATTACTGCTTTTAGCAGAAAACCTGTAACTCTCACCAACCTTGTGTTGACCCTCAAAACTACATGTATTATCAGGAAATTACTAAACAGACATTCAAGATGGATTGGATTACAGGAGACCTAGTCTTTTTGCTGTTGTATTATATGTCTATCTGTTAAGGCAATTCATGTATTATTATGTGTAAAAATCTTGTATTCAAACATCAAGATGGAGCATTAATGTTATATTATTCATTGTTGTACTTGTGATGTATATTCTGTTTACATGTGATCAATGAACTTAGTCACAAAATCCGGCGTGTTCCGCCGCCTCGGTCGGGGGTGTGACACAATCTCTTCCAAGCGGGTGTAGGCCCTTAATTAAGACTATTAATGATCTATTCCAATTCAATTGTTTCTAAAATGTCAAAACACCACAATACTTTGTGGAGTTACTTTGGATCCATGGTGTTTCCTTTAATTTAAGATATTGACCATCCTCAAATGAATCACATCACATTCAATGATTGTATGTTTACTTATAAGGGTTTCTTGTACTCTTGCTAAATAACATAAAGCCTTGGAATGAGAAATTTCCACGTCTAAAAGACTATATCCTAATTTTAGCACAAGTGTGAGCATCCACCTTGGATTTAATGCATCAAATTATCCATATATTCATCAAAGTACATGTATTACTTGCTTTTCTATTTCATTGCTCATAACTCCATGAGAAATGAATTTTTAAGCTTAGAACCAAGTAAAACACCATAAAATGGGTTAGAAACAATCCAAAGCTATAATTATTCAATAAAATTGGATTTAGGCCTTCTCATCTAAGTGTAAATTCCAATCTAGAGAGTTTTATGGAGAAATTAAACTTGTAATAAATAGAAGACTTCCAAGTTAACTATGATTGACCAAGAACTCTTTGAATCTAGGCTCAATGGTTGAAACCCTTCCAAATCTAAAGTACTCAAAACATTATTTAGACGAAATAGGTAGGAGAATGGTAGCTTTGGGTCCTATTTCAAGTCTCTCTTATCTCGTATTGGACATATTGTTGGAATAGTGTCTAAGGCTATAACTATATTCGGTGGTGCATGATCCTTTTGGGTTGCCTTCACCATAGCAACTTGAAGGATGATTTGTTAAGAGAGAGTAAATATTATAAGGAATAATATTTAGCTATTTGATTAATATAAGTCATAAATTAATTGGTATTAATTTGGTGACTTAAAGAGATTAATTAAATAAGAGGGTATAAACTGTCAATTGTTTGATAGTTAGACTTTAGACTATAAATCCATTAGGATGGACTTTGGACGGTTTCTAAGAGCTTTAGGATAGCTCAAAATAGTCCATAAGGATATCTATGGAATGGATTTGGATAGCCTTAAGTGAAGATTATCCAATTAGGGTTTAGGGTGAAACCCTTAAGGAGTCTAAAGGTATAAATAGGCCCTTGGGGTGTGGAATTCGTGACAACTTTCAGAACCTAAAGCAAGGAACCTCTAGCCGAATTCCATCCCCTCTCCTCTCTCCTAAATCATCTTGCTTGCTATTGGTGTTTGTAAGCCATTAGAGGAGTGACAATTGTGACTCTAGAAGCTCCAAGACAAGAAGATCAACAAGGAACTCAAAGGTATGATTCTAGATCTGTATTAATGTTATTGTTTAACCTAATTAGCCATTAGAAGTCTTGGATTCAAAAGCATGTTTGATAGAAAGCCTAGATCCAAGCAATAGGGTTTTGCATGCGCACATAGGAAAGTTCTTATGGCTAAAACCCAACAGTGGTATCAGAGCCTAGATTGGTTTTCTACAAATTGTTGCTTGAATAACTGAAACAAACCTGCAAAATTCGATTTTTTGGTTTTGAGTCACTGACTCGTCGAGTTCCAAGTGGACTCGGCGAGTAGGCCTGACTCGGCGAGTCCTTGTGTACTCGGCGAGTCCAAGCGTCAGGAAGGCCAGATTCGGGATTTCTTTGTGTTTATCTTATCCAAACTTACCATAAACTAATTAGATCAATATGAATCCGTTTTTTTGATAAATATAAGTGTTATCTTGATCTAGTTAAAGGTAATTATCAACTAATTAAATATTTAGTTTCTTTATATGATAATTAATTAATTGTTTTAATTATTTTTGGTAATTATCCTCAAAGAAATCAAAGATAAATCAAATAAAGATAATTAAGATATTAATTGTTAATTGAAATTATTTGTTATTTGATCCTCCATGTTTTTAAATGTTTAAAACCTACCCTATAGTTTTGAAATTTAAATTTGTGATTAAAAGCTTTAATTTAGACAACTTAAATTTCAAACCCTAGATTTTGAAAAGTTTAAAATACAACCCTATACTTATATGACATTATTAGAATAATATATATATGTATAACTAAATGCTAGTCTTACCGCTAGTAGGCCTCATTCACGAAGCCGATCTATAAGGTGGGTATAAGGTTGCGGCCTATAAAATGGCGCTTAATGGGTGTACACTCACACCCACCGCTTGCTTGATTGGTGGAGGGTCGTTAGCCGAACGGGTAGGATAGGGCAACCTCATCCTCTCATTAAAAGTATAATAAGAAATACGAAGTAACTAAATTTTTTTAAATTTCCCAATCTTAGTTACTTTAGGAAAAGTGAATTGATGCAATTCCATGAAATTACACTTTGCACCTTGCTAAGATGTTAGTGGAGCGTGTGTGGTTTACCGGCACACTAATTGGTTCTAAGCGAAGGTGGCGAAGGGTGATTCATTGTTTATCATAGTTCGATGGAGCGTGTGTGGTTTACCGGCACATCGAATAGGTGATCGTAACAATGAAGGCACCATGTAAATTTGCATGGTAATTCACACCCGCTTTGTGATCCTCGGCATCCCAGTCACAAACAAGAGGGGCATATCGAGATTTAAACATGCCATTGAATAGTTCAATGAATCTCATCCGAACCTAGGAATTCTCAAAAACACTTAGGACTAAAAGTTTAAGTTTTGTGATGGAGAATTAGTGAATCGTCATTCACTTACCTTCAATTTATTTGCATGTTGGATTACGGCATCCCTTTTCTAGTATGTAAATGTTATTGTTGGATCCTAGCCCTAATTTTTCTTATTGGGTGATAATTAGGGATTCTTGTTCTAATCTATCTTTGTCCTTTCTATAGATGTCAAACGCAAACAACGCTGCTGCTAGTTCTTTCACGTTGATGAGCCTTTGCCAAAAGGTCACCTTCGATGGAACGAACTTTGGCGAATGGATAAGATACATTCGCACCATTGCTCGCTATGAGGATAAAGAGTATGTCCTCGACGAGAAGCTCGAGAAAATCAACCCCGAAATTGCTACTCCCGCTGAAATCACCGCCTTTGAAACCCATGAGCGAGATGCGACGAAAGTA